AAGGGAAACGATGAAGCTCTTGGTGAAGTTACTACCACTGATGTGACTGTTACCGATGATAGGACAGCTACTGATGAAAGAGACGAACCCCACATGAAGCAGAAGCCAATGAGACGGAGACCAATACTGAAGAAGATACTTTTTGAATTGTAATTTTGTGTTTGTAATTCTGTACATTTAATTAAGTTATTGTTAATTGTTATTGGTTTATTGTAAGTGGCTATTGTTCGGGACGAACAATACTAAGGAGGGGCAGTGTTGCGTCAGCGAGGTCACGTGACTAGTTTCACGCCACCTGCTTTCTAGAAACATCCTGTTCCTTCGGGAGTGCTCTAGCATTTGCTAGATTGGGGGTGGCCTGGTATATATAAGATGGTCACGGCGTGACGTAACAGAATGTGTGTAGGTAATGAGTAATTGAACTGCAGTCAGAGAGAGACGTATTGTTGAAGTCAAGGTCGTGAGACTTGAATTATAGTTTGTTATAGCGCGATTGTTGAAATTAAGTGTATCGGTAAAATTTTATTCGGAAAGAATAAACCAGTTTTATTTAAGAAAGGACTTGTGTCGCTAAAGTTTCGTCGGAACGAATTTACGGGAAATCAATTAACAAACGGAGACGTAACAATATCATCCTAGTTGCCTTTGTCCCTTGTAATTCTATTGAAATCGCACTTGTTTTGCCCATGGATAGAAATGGCTGTAATGCTGCACGTTGTACAAATATGTAAACAGCTAGAGCCCTTCAATGGTAAATCAGCTGGTATCTTTAGGTTGCAGCCTTCTCAAAGTTGAAATGATAATGCCCAATCATGTGGGTTGCGCTACTTGCTCTGTATAAATCTAACGTTGCCTGTGTTGTAAGGAATGTACATTCAATTTAAACAGATGATCTTGGCCTGATCAGTTTGAAAGGATGTTACCTGATCCAGTACAAGTGATTATCCTGTCTATAAAAGCAGGTATACACATTGTGTTTGTATTCTAGGTGTGATATAATAAAGATTGCTTATTTGTACATTACATTGTGTCAAGTCTCTTTATTTCATCATCACAAACTCAGTTGTTCAGAAGTTCGGTTCTGCTTGGTAATAAATATCTTGTTGAACTTCTTGCATACCTATCCCATTATTGCAAGGTTAACTCAGTTTTACCTGAAAATATCTCATTTCTCCCGTGAACCAAAAGACGATAAAAGCTCTACTTTTATTATTTGTAAGTGCTGCCTAGGCCAATAAGACAACAGTTTCACACACATAACAAATAAAATACTTATATTCTGTAGTGTGTTTCATCATTTTGTTGAATAGTTTTAATGGAACATATCATACACAATCTATTTTTTTTTTATTGTTAAGAACAAAGTTACACAATGAACTATCTGTGCTCTGCTCCCCGCGAGTATCGAAACCCTTTCTGTGTGTGTTATTAGACTCTAGACTTACTACTGAACCACTAAGAAACTAACATACAGGTAACAAGAGATCATTTAAGCTTTCTAATAATGGCTGGAGACGGCTTAAATGGGTAATGAAGAAAAACTTTAATATAAGTTTAACATGACAGCAAATGTACAACGTTTCGACAAGGTTTTGTCAACATTGATGGAACCAACAAATTTCCTCTGAACATTAATAATGGCTGGAGACGGCTTGAATGGGTAATGAAGAAAAACTTTAATATAAGTTTAACATGACAGCAAATGTACAACGTTTCGACAAAGGTTTGCCATCATCAGGCACCGGTGCTTTTAGATGGTGATGACAAAAACTT